CTGCTGCTGCTGCTGTTACTGCTGCCACCGCCGGCGGGGGGCGCGGCCATGGGCGCGGCGGAGAAGCGGCAGCTCAGGTAGGAACGGAGCCCCCTGGGCCGAAGCCTGGGCGCGAGCCTTCCTCGTGTGTGTCCGCCTGCTCGCACGTGTGCGCGTGTTTCTCGTGCAAGGGGGCGCGTGTGTGCCCATGCCACTGGGAACGTTCCCAGACCAAAGTCGCACGCGGGAGCAGGCTGCTGGCGCTGTCGTGAGTTCCCAGGACCCATGGCGTAACTCCACGTCCCTCCAAACAGCGCTTATTTTGTGTCGCCCGACTGCAGTCTCGCGGCGTTCGGGAGCCTGGGCTGTGACTTGACGCCTTGTTGCGCGAGGCGCTGGGCGAACGCAGCCTGATGGGATGACGTGCCTCAAACAGCTTAAAGTCTGAGTGATCCAATATGGCAGTTCGCAGTCATGCCGCACAGCCACCACCGCTGGTGCACAGGCAACCTGTCGGTGGTACACGTTAACGGATATATTATCGTTACTTTATCAGACGACCATTTGCTGGTGGTACTCCAAGTTGCACTGAAAGTCAAGGTTGCACTGAAAAACTTGCCAGCAGTTCTTAAGGTCGTATCATTTTACATTGGTGGCACGTGACCTGTCAGAGTTTGGGAAACCGCCAGTCTCAAATAACTCGGATCCCGGAAGTTAGGCAACCTGACGAGTCGGTCTCCACATCTTCCAGCAGCTGCCTCACCCACCCACCCCCGCGCATCCCGTTTCCAAATGCCCATGGTGAAAAATAAGTTTTCAGGGCGTCGGCTCTAAAAACATACAGAGTGGTATGGCTGTGTCTGTTGAGCGGCATATTTTGTCTGGCACGGTGACATCCTATGTGTTTGTTGCCTGCGGAGTCATAGAGAAGTTGGGCTGGAAGGGATCTCCAGAGGTCATCTAGTGTCTAGTCCAAGCCCCCCTGCCTGAGGCAGGATCAACCCTGTCTAAACCGTCCCAGACAACCATAATCTAAATTCTGTGTAATGCTGCCATCAACCCTGACACAACATAGACCTAACACCCTAACCTGCCACATGTAAAGGAGATTCCTGTCTAGATCGCCTTTCTTTTATACGACTAGTTGGGCAGGAGGTCAATACCTCAGCGCCAGCTTAATAAACTGCTCTGGATACGGGTCCATGTTTGCTGTTGGATATTTATTGTTGTGTTTCTTGGAGCAGGGATCACAGGAGTTTCATTAAATAGGCTGAACAGTAGATTCATGGCCACTGCTCTAAGTAGTTTTGCGCCTTTGGCTTCCTGCTGTCATTCTGCTGTTCTCTTTCCAGGGACCAGGTTGTGGAGATGTTTGAACACGCATATGGCAGCTACATGGTATGTAGTTTATCTTTTGCCCCCATTCATTCATGCCTCCATGGGGAGAACTCTTGAGTCTGAATGAAATCAGTTTTTATGTGAGGTCTCTCTGCTTTTGCTAACTTGTCATGGGTCTGGGAATGTTCCACAGCTGCGGGGGGGGGCAGGAATAAAAACAGTTTGGTGGTCTGGGAAGAAAACTATCCCTGCAAAGTGAGAGCTCAGGAAAACTCACTGAGGCATGTCCACACCCTCTCTGCACTGGTTTTAGTTTCCTGTCAGGCCTAGTTGGGAACATTCAGTCACAGCCCCAATGCTGGGAGAGCTGAATGACATGTAAGGGGTGAAGTCTGTGCCCGGCATAAGTTGGCAGGCTCCTCAGATCCTCCAAGCAGCCCACCATTTCTGCTCATCTTGGCTGTTTGTACTGCACCTTTGAGTGTTTTCTTCATGAACAGAATAACCAAAGTAGCTGCCTTTTTCCTCATTCTGTAAATGAATTCTAAGACTGTACCAAGGAAAATCCTGCATGGAAACAGCCTTGCCACCATGCTAGCTCTGGCTGCAATGCGTGCCACCCCGGGAGACTTCCAAGCAGAGCAGGAAGTCATTCTGTCATGCTGTGTTTACAATATGGGCCAGCAGACAGTGATACAACTCTCCCTCTGAGCAAGGGAGAACTTACTAGTCATGCAAGTTTCCACAGTCAAAATGGTTGGTGGGGTGGGTACGTGTGGGGGGGATTCTGATCACAATTCTTACTGACCCCTTTTTTTGGCTGTGCCCATTGTTTTAGTATGTATGTATTTTGGTCAGCAAGCAGAACTGGGAGTCAGATGAATTGCATTCTTCTAGCTCTGCTGCTAACTGGTCATGTGTTTCTTAGCTGCTTTTGGGATACAAACGGTAAGAGCTAAAGGGCCAAAATCTAGAAATCCTGACACCTAATGCCCAACTTAGGCCAAATCCCAATGATGTAGGAACATCAGGCATGTTTGCAAAGTCCTTGAGAGCCTTGTTGGCAAGTGCTTTTGAATTTTCCTGGTACTGTTCTCTAGGATCTAGACCAATGGCTCCCTTTTGTTTTTGTTGTTGTTTGGTGATTTTTTATTTTTTTTTTTGCTGTGACCCTAAATCCGGGGTTGTGACCCCCACCCCTGCCACCGACTCGCTCATGCCCAGCAGTGCCAGCAGAGCCCAGACTGGGATCATGGGGGGCAGTAGCAGCGAGAGCCACATGGACTGTGCCCTGAAAAAGCCCCACAGGTGGGAGTGGCAGACCCCCTGCAACCCTGATTTGGGTCAGGCCCCGAGGTTGGGAGCCACTGGTCTAGACTTTATTGGGGATGGTGATCCCTCACGGTTGAGCATTGTCACCCTCATGGGTCAAGTGAGTGGTTGTAAATGAGTCTGTTGAAGGCCAGGAAGGCTGATCCTAGAGCCACACTTTTACTAGAAAGAGGAATGAATCTCTGGCTGACCTAGCTGGTTGTTTGCATTGCTTTGTATACAACAGACAGAAGTTGATAAGGAATGTGTAAGCTATTTTTTCTGTGCTCTGAGACAGGGGTTCCCAAACTTTTTCTTATCGTGAACCTCCTTCCAGACTTATCCAGCTGCCCATGTTCCCCTAGAGCATACGTTTTATCTTTTAACCCCTTAAATGCCAATGACTATAATGAAAATTAAATCTGCCATTACACAATTTCTCCAGAGATTGTACCACCCAGAGATTTCTTGCATACGCCCAGGAGTATGCATTTCACAGTTTAGGAACCTCTGCTCTAAGGCAAGATGCATTGCATTTGGAACAGGACTGGCAAGAAGCCTAGTTAACTTCAAAAGTGGCCAATTTTAGAAGTCGGAAGCTCAGTGTTTACTCTTTTTGTCAAACATTTCCAGATCCTGAAGGAGCTGTCAGCAGTTTTCAGTTGTATCTTTTTTTTGTGCTCATTCCCCTCTCTTCTGCAGAAGTATGCATATCCTGCAGATGAGCTGATGCCTTTGAGCTGTCGGGGTCGAGTGCGGGGCCTGGAGCCAAGTCGTGGAGATATCGATGATGCTCTTGGCAAGTGAGTGTGCAAGATGGCGTTCCCCAGATCCTCCATTTGCCCTGCAGGCCAAAGAGTGGCTATTAGGGGCAGGATGTGCTAAATAAATATGCAGACCTACACTCATCCTCCAGTTCCTAGGCCACTAGAAAAGTTTCTGTGGTCTCTTGGGTAAGTGTGTCATGGTCTAGCTTATGGGTGTCACAGATACAGCTCACAGGCTGGATCTGGCTTGTGGAGCCCTGTGATCCAGCCTGTGGGTCTCAGGCCAACCCTGCATGCTGCATGTGGTATGGGCTGGCTCCCTGCAGCAAATGAGCAAATGGCCATGTGTTCCGTGCAGCAAATGGAGCCAGTCTGGCATGTGCTGCATCCAGTCCGGTGTGTGCTGTTCGCAGCACAGGGAGCCAGTCTGGAGCATGTACTGCATCTAGATCACAGTAGGACTCAAAGACCAGCCCCACACACCAGAGCCAGCTTGTAGGCCAGCTCTATGTGAAAGTCCCAGACCAGGGCCAGTGCATGCTGCACGAGGTGTCTTCTCTGGACCAGCCCTGTGAGCTGGCTCTGGTATGTGGAGCTGGTCTGTTTGTCTGCTCCAACTCGCAGACTGGCCCTATGCCCCTTATCCAGCCCATGGGGCTGAATAAGTTTGGCACCCCTGGTCTAGGTAATCAATTAGGATAGCAGTCTGGAAATGAAGGCTGGAGGATTCCATATCAAACTCGTGCTAGAACTTGTCGTCATGCCATCAAGACCCAAGGCACTGCACTTTTCTGTGCCTGTTTCTGCATGTGTCAAACAAGGGGTGACATTTGCTTTACTTGGGTACCATGAGGCTGGAATCCCATATATTCGCAAATTGCTTTGAGCTCAACTGTTGAAGAGGTCTCACAAAATGGGCAGCAGAGATGCCAGTTGTAATGTCGCTTGTCATAAAGTGCATTTTTCCTCATGACTGAAGAGCTGGAGAATTGGAGCTGGTTTGGCCACAATACTGGGTTTTACATGAAGAATTGCAGCAAAAATGAAAATGTGCTTTATTTAATATGACAGTGGCCCTCAAAATGTTTAATGGAAAACCATAAACCAAACTTCAGGTTTGGGCAAATGTTTGAGGGTTTGGTCAAAACATTACGGTTTTCTTCTTTATTTCTTCCATCTAAGATCTGAAAGCTTCGCTGAAAATGGGCACTTCCTAAGCAGTAGCTGCAGTGCATGAAAGAGCTCTTTTTCAATCAAAGGAAAAATGGCAACTTGCTCTTTCTAGGGTGGCAAGGGCCAGATTTGCAAAACTCTTTGCCTCTGAATATTTGTGCAGCTCAGAAAAGCATCCAGTGCTTTTGACCCTGGCCTTTGCGGCTGCACACAGAGATGGCCCCTTGCACACACACTGGTGTGCAGTGGCAGCAACTACACAAATAAATTTGCATGGACACAGGCACTTCTGTTTTTAGGCAGCAAGTGCCAGGGGTTGAAAATCTCCCTTAGTGTAATCCGTTAAGTCTCCAAGATCCGCTTTCCACGATCTAATTTTCACTGTGATTCAAAGTATACCTTCTACTCTGCATTTAAATCTGTAGGTTTTCCCTCACGCTGATTGACACCTTGGATACTCTTGTGGTAAGTCAGTGATCTTCTTGTGTCAGAGCTGTTGAGCAAGGAGCAATGTTTGCATTTAGGCAGCAGTCTCTGTCAAGATCAGGGCCGGGTTCCTAATGCACAGGGTTTACATTTGTGCCTGTGCAATGGACTGTGTTTCCCTCTGCTATTCTGGCTTTTTACAAGTGGGCTGAAATGTGCCCGTGAAGTTATAGGACCTTCCACATGTCCATTGTGGGAGACCTTGGGGTTTAAGGATGAATAAAATGTGCTTAGCTGTGAAACTGTTGTTGGGTGTCCTCTGCTTTCATGGTTTGTTTTGTCTTGAGGTTTTGGTGATAAAACAGCACTTGATAGAAGCAGTGGAATCTGCACACGAGCTTTAATCAGATTTCTTTTGAGACCAGCTTGTGGCTCTGGCTTGTCTAAAAACACTGGAGCCCAGGCCCTAACTGGTCCCAAGCCACCCGATTGTACCAAAAGTCAGAATCATAGGGTTACAGCACCTTCATATGGGCCAGAACTCCTTGGTTATGGCCCAGCTGCTGCCTGTAGATCCCCAGGCAAGTTCCTTTCACTTTGCTTTTCCTTGCTGTAAAAGTAGGGGTGATAAATATGATCTGTTTGTAGAATTCTGACCTCTGTGTATGGCTGCAGGGGGATACATGTAAGTGAGCTGTGTATTCAAAAGCACTGCAGCTAAAGCCAAGTAACCTTTTATTTTAATATGTAGAATTCTGGCTGATGGTAGGGGATGCCTTTCCATATATATCTTAGACTACTCAGGGCAGGGGCGGTCTCACACTATGTGCAGTACCTTGCACTGTGAGACTTTTGGGCTTACAAATAATAATCCTGACACATCTTCAGTAACACATTCATTTGTCGTGTTGTTTCTTTCTTCTTTGATACACCTTCTTTAAGCAGTCTTTCTCCTTGCAGTAGTTTACCATCTTTATGTTTCTTGTTCAGTTAACACTTGTTCTCTCAGATGCTCCTTCTGCTGCCTCATGGGACCCAGATGCTAGGTTGATTGACACATTAGAGAGGAATGCATGACATGTTTTCCCTCCTGTGCCACTGCTTTTCTGGAGCCTTTTGTTTCTCCCCTCATTATTTCCTGTTTATTCCTCATCCTACTGCTTGTATGCCATGGTCCTAGTTAACTGAGCTGCCTTATTGTATTGCTGGTATTAACCTTTACTACATAATCACTGTTAGCAGTAATAATTTCTTGGCAACCAATTATGTGTATGGGGGTAACAAGTAGGAGCTGCCATTGTGTGCCAGGTTCTTGTTTGCGCCAGGTGCTGTACAAGCCTAGAACAGAAAGGATAGTCCCTGCCCCAAAGAGCTGACATTCATCCTCCCACTTCCCTGAAAAGCCACAGATGCAGACAACTTCCCTCTTGTTTTACTTGCCCATGCTGATTTGCCGGGATGGCTGACCCTGAGCACTGAAATACAGTGAAACAAACCAAAAAAGTCCTGAGAGGGGGTGGGCTTTGAACCTTTAAGGAATAGCTGGTTCAGATGTTTAAGCTTGCTTAACACCCAGGAGAGGGCTAAAGTAGTCGCCTAAGGATTGCAAGACATAGAATAAAGTCCTGCTCAGACAGACACACATTTCCTTTATGAGCTCGTGCAGGATGCCTGGTCTCTTTGGGATTTAGTTGCCCATCTGTACCATGCAGGTAATAGCACGTTTCTCCTTCACAGGATTGGTGGGAGGATAAGTACAGACAAGATCAAGTAATAGAGGCCACATTAGTTTCTAAACAAGAGAGATTCATTTGCTGGATTAAGGAAAGACCCAACTCTGCCTGAAATCAAAGCCTGAAATGGGCTTATTGCAAAGCTCAGTCAGGAGTGAATTGTGAATTGCTCTTCTGACTTTATTTGCATTCTCCTTGACAGTCTGTTAAGGGTGTTACAGGCCTAACAAGATCAGCTTCTCTCCCTTAAGACCTTGCAGTCTAAATAGCTGTCATTCAGGCAAGAGAAACAGAGCAGCCAGTGACATATGGGCTGTTGGTCAGTCAGGGATGAGGGGGAACAACAGATGGGCTGTTGCTTGAGAGATTTCAGCAGGAAGAGTGGCCAGTCATAATGGTATAGCAGAATATAGGACAAAGGGGTTGGTGTAGCACTCATGGGGGTGACAGGCAGTAAAAAAGCCTCAGATCGCTGACCTGAGTCTCAACCCTTCCCCGCCCAGGTTCTTAACAAGCTGGACGAGTTTGAGGATGCTGTGCGCAAGGTGGTGCTGGATGTGCGGCTGGACAATGACGTGGTTGTCTCTGTGTTTGAAACTAACATCCGTGTACTGGGGTGAGTGTGGGCATTGGATGGGCAGAGTAAAGACCTATTGCTCAGTGCCATTGGAACTGCAGTGCATGGCAGGTGTCGTCCCTCCTGCCTTGTTCATCTTTTAGGATGTTGTTCCAGTGCCTGTTGTCCCCAAATATCTCCTTGCCGCCGCTCCCCCTGCCTTCCGAACTCCTTCAGCTCAGAGACTGTGCTGGATGCCTAGTGGGACTCTGCTCCATGAATGCTCTGAGTGGGTGGTATCTGGGGGCCAAGAAAGGGCCGTTGAGGGTAGGGTGAAGGTTGCTTGCTGTGTAAGAAATAGTCTAGAGATGGGTGGATATACAGGGGATTGAGCGCAGGGACAGACATTCTGGGCACCAAGGAGGCCCAGCTGGTTCATAAATGGGTTTTCTTACTGCAACGTTTGCAAGAACCTCTAAAAAGCCTTTCCTGACCTCATCGCCCTCCCCCCCCCCCCCTTTCCCTGCAGGGGTCTGCTAGGGGGTCACATCATGGCCGACATGTTGAAGGTGCAAGGTGAACGATTGCAATGGTATAAAGATGAGCTCTTGCATTTGGCTCGGGACCTGGGGTACCGTCTCTTGCCTGCTTTCAACACTACCAGCGGACTGCCCTACCCCAGGGTAAGGTAAATTGGATGGTCTTAACTGGCACGTTTGGGGCTGAGGCTTTGCACAGAGTGACCCTAATAGGGCATTGCTAAGGCCTGCAGCATC